CCACGGTGTCCGGCCTTGAATCTTCAGCATCAGAGGAGCCTCCGGGCCCTGCTCTCCAGGCTGCGCCCTCTTGGACTTGGAGCCTTTTTCTTCCACTTTCCTCTCCCGTGGTTGGGGGATGTTTGCCGGGAGCTGGGCACAGACTTCGTTCCTCCTGGTTGGCCTCTGTGGATCTTGGCCGTAGAGTCCAGCTCGGAGGGTGGTTTTCTCTGGCAGCCAGCTCAGTGGCAGCAGTGAGCGGACTCTGGCCCCCCCTAGTGGCGGACCCACTAGTGTGCGTCCCACAGGCTCCCCAGCAACTAGGGTCCACAAGCCCACTGGGAACCAGGCTTGCAGAGGCAAAGCACCTGGCCTCCTGGACACCTAGGCTCCCCCAGCTGTGGGAAATCTGAGCCCCATTCTCCGAGGAGCCGTGGCTGGTGAACACGCAGCCAGGTCCATCCTGAGGGGCTCTGGAGTGTGGGGATCCTGATGGAGAACTGAGGGATCCAGCACCCTGGACCAGGGCCAGGTTCACTGAGTTTGCTTAGGAAATGTGTACGCAGCACCTTCTGCTTAGGACCTGGGGACACAGGTGGGCGGGGCAGCCAGAGCCCCTGTGCTGGGGAAGCAGCTGAGGCGGGCTGTGGATGGGGACAGCCACACCTCACCAAGGAGGGCCCTGCTGCGGGGGTGAACACCGGGACTTCTTGTTTTTCTTTCTTTCTCTTTTTTTTTTTTTTTTTTGAGACTGAGTTTCCCTCTTGTAGTCCAGGCTGGAGTGCAATGGCACGATCTCAGCTCACTGCAACCTCCGCCTCCCAGGTTCAAGCGATTCTCCTGCCTCAGCCTCCCGAGTAGCTGGGACTACAAACACGCCACCACGCCCAGCTAATTTTTGTATTTTTAGTAGAGGCGGTGTTTCACCACAGGATGGTCTTGATCTCTTGACCTTGTCTGAGATCTGTCTGCCTTGGCCACCCAGAGTGCTGGGATTACAGGTGTGAGCCACTGCACCTGGCCCAGCCTCTGGATTTCTGCAGCGGGAGTTCCGGGGTTTTAGGGAACGGGAAGGACCCGATGAAAGGGGTAGTTTATATTCAACTCTGGTGAGGAAGCAATGGTCGCATACAGCTGCCGGGGCCCTCGACGGCCTCCTGGGAGGCTGAGCTTACCAGCTCTGGGCCCAGCATGAAGCAAGGACACCTAAGGAAAGGAAACCAGGGATCTCACAGCGTGACCCGGGGGTGGGTGCAGCCTGGTTGTGGGGAGGGAGGAGCCCATTGAAGTTGGGTGTGACTGGGCTCCTGTGCAGTGCGTGCTCCCCCGACACAGGCAGAGGCCAGGCAGCGTCTGCACCCAGGACCCTCTGAGCTGCCCTTTCATGCCGATCCCTGGCTTCCCCCGGTGTCCTCTTTTCCTAACATTTTGTCACTGTCTTAGCTCTGGCTGCTGTGACAAGTCGGCTGGCACAGTGACTTACAAACAACCAGACTTTGTCTCTGACAGCTCGGGAGCTCTGGAGGCTGGATGTGCAAGATCAAGGTTCTGCGGACTCGGTGTGGGGGTGGGGTCACGTTTCCTGGTACCTGGACGGTGGTGCTGGGGATTTGGTGTAGGGAGGTTGTGTTTCATAGATGATGGTGCTGTGGATTTGGTTCAGGGAGGTTGTATTTAATAGACGGTGCTGTGGATTTGGTGTAGGGAGGTTGTGTTTCATAGATGATGCTGTGGATTTGGTGTAGGGAGGTTGTGTTTCATAGATGATGGTGCTGTGGATTTGGTTCAGGGAGGTTGTATTTAATAGACGGTGCTGTGGATTTGGTGTAGGGAGGTTGTGTTTCATAGATGATGGTGCTGTGGATTTGGTTCAGGGAGGTTGTATTTAATAGACGGTGCTGTGGATTTGGTGTAGGGAGGTTGTGTTTCATAGATGATGGTGTGGATTTGGTGTAGGGAGGTTGTGTTTCATAGATGATGGTGTGGATTTGGTGTAGGGAGGTTGTGTTTCATAGATGATGCTGTGGATTTGGTGGAGGGAGGTTGTGTTTCATAGATGATGGTGTGGATTTGGTGTAGGGAGGTTGTGTTTCATAGATGATGCTGTGGATTTGGTGGAGGGAGGTTGTGTTTCATAGATGATGGTGTGGATTTGGTGGAGGGAGGTTGTGTTTCATAGATGATGGTGTGGATTTGGTGGAGGGAGGTTGTGTTTCATAGATGATGGTCTGGATTTGGTGGAGGGAGGTTGTGTTTCATAGACGGTGCTGTGGATTTGGTGTAGGGAGGTTGTGTTTCATAGACGGTGCTGTGGATTTGGTGTAGGGAGGTCGTGTTTCATAGACGGTGCTGTGGATTTGGTGTAGGGAGGTCGTGTTTCATAGATGGTGCTGTGGATTTGGTGGAGGGAGGTCGTGTTTCATAGACGGTGCTGTGGATTTGGTGTAGGGAGGTCGTGTTTCATAGACGGTGCTGTGGATTTGGTGTAGGGAGGTCGTGTTTCATAGATGGTGCTGTGGATTTGGTGGAGGGAGGTTGTGTTTCATAGATGGTGCTGTGGATTTGGTGTAGGGAGGTTGTGTTTCATAGATGGTGCTGTGGATTTGGTGTAGGGAGGTCGTGTTTCATAGATGGTGCTGTGGATTTGGTGGAGGGAGGTTGTGTTTCATAGATGGTGCTGTGGATTTGGTGGAGGGAGGTTGTGTTTCATAGATGGTGCTGTGGATTTGGTGTAGGGAGGTTGTGTTTCATAGATGGTGCTGTGGATTTGGTGTAGGGAGGTTGTGTTTCATAGACGGTGCTGTGGATTTGGTGTAGGGAGGTTGTGTTTCATAGATGGTGCTGTGGATTTGGTGGAGGGAGGTTGTGTTTCATAGATGATGGTGTGGATTTGGTGTAGGGAGGTTGTGTTTCATAGATGGTGCTGTGGATTTGGTGCAGGGAGGTTGTGTTTCATAGATGGTGCTGTGGATTTGGTGGAGGGAGGTTGTGTTTCATAGATGATGGTGTGGATTTGGTGGAGGGAGGTTGTGTTTCATAGATGATGGTGTGGATTTGGTGGAGGGAGGTTGTGTTTCATAGATGATGGTCTGGATTTGGTGGAGGGAGGTTGTGTTTCATAGATGGTGCTGTGGATTTGGTGTAGGGAGGTTGTGTTTCATAGACGGTGCTGTGGATTTGGTGTAGGGAGGTCGTGTTTCATAGACGGTGCTGTGGATTTGGTGTAGGGAGGTTGTGTTTCATAGACGGTGCTGTGGATTTGGTGGAGGGAGGTTGTGTTTCATAGATGGTGCTGTGGATTTGGTGGAGGGAGGTTGTGTTTCATAGATGGTGCTGTGGATTTGGTGTAGGGAGGTCGTGTTTCATAGATGGTGGTGCTGTGGATTTGGTGGAGGGAGGTTGTGTTTCATAGATGATGGTGTGGATTTGGTGGAGGGAGGTTGTGTTTCATAGATGATGGTCTGGATTTGGTGGAGGGAGGTTGTGTTTCATAGACGGTGCTGTGGATTTGGTGGAGGGAGGTTGTGTTTCATAGATGGTGCTGTGGATTTGGTGTAGGGAGGTTGTGTTTCATAGACGGTGCTGTGGATTTGGTGTAGGGAGGTCGTGTTTCATAGACGGTGCTGTGGATTTGGTGTAGGGAGGTTGTGTTTCATAGACGGTGCTGTGGATTTGGTGGAGGGAGGTTGTGTTTCATAGATGGTGCTGTGGATTTGGTGGAGGGAGGTTGTGTTTCATAGATGGTCCTGTGGATTTGGTGGAGGGAGGTTGTGTTTCATAGATGGTGCTGTGGATTTGGTGGAGGGAGGTTGTGTTTCATAGATGATGGTCTGGATTTGGTGGAGGGAGGTTGTGTTTCATAGATGATGGTGTGGATTTGGTGGAGGGAGGTTGTGTTTCATAGATGATGGTCTGGATTTGGTGGAGGGAGGTTGTGTTTCATAGATGGTGCTGTGGATTTGGTGTAGGGAGGTTGTGTTTCATAGACGGTGCTGTGGATTTGGTGTAGGGAGGTCGTGTTTCATAGACGGTGCTGTGGATTTGGTGGAGGGAGGTCGTGTTTCATAGATGGTGCTGTGGATTTGGTGTAGGGAGGTTGTGTTTCATAGATGGTGCTGTGGATTTGGTGTAGGGAGGTCGTGTTTCATAGATGGTGCTGTGGATTTGGTGGAGGGAGGTTGTGTTTCATAGATGGTGCTGTGGATTTGGTGGAGGGAGGTTGTGTTTCATAGACGGTGCTGTGGATTTGGTGTAGGGAGGTCGTGTTTCATAGACGGTGCTGTGGATTTGGTGTAGGGAGGTCGTGTTTCATAGATGGTGCTGTGGATTTGGTGGAGGGAGGTTGTGTTTCACAGATGGTGCTGTGGATTTGGTGTAGGGAGGTTGTGTTTCATAGACGGTGCTGTGGATTTGGTGTAGGGAGGTCGTGTTTCATAGACGGTGCTGTGGATTTGGTGTAGGGAGGTCGTGTTTCATAGATGGTGCTGTGGATTTGGTGGAGGGAGGTTGTGTTTCATAGATGGTGCTGTGGATTTGGTGTAGGGAGGTCGTGTTTCATAGATGGTGCTGTGGATTTGGTGGAGGGAGGTTGTGTTTCATAGATGGTGCTGTGGATTTGGTGGAGGGAGGTTGTGTTTCATAGACGGTGCTGTGGATTTGGTGTAGGGAGGTTGTGTTTCATAGACGGTGCTGTGGATTTGGTGTAGGGAGGTCGTGTTTCATAGACGGTGCTGTGGATTTGGTGTAGGGAGGTCGTGTTTCATAGATGGTGCTGTGGATTTGGTGGAGGGAGGTTGTGTTTCATAGATGGTGCTGTGGATTTGGTGTAGGGAGGTCGTGTTTCATAGATGGTGCTGTGGATTTGGTGGAGGGAGGTTGTGTTTCATAGATGGTGCTGTGGATTTGGTGGAGGGAGGTTGTGTTTCATAGATGGTGCTGTGGATTTGGTGGAGGGAGGTTGTGTTTCATAGATGGTGCTGTGGATTTGGTGTAGGGAGGTTGTGTTTCATAGATGGTGCTGTGGATTTGGTGGAGGGAGGTTGTGTCTCATAGACGATGGTGCTGTGGATTTGGTGTAGGGAGGTTGTGTCTCATAGATGATGGTGCTGTGGATTTGGTGGAGGGAGGTTGTGTTTCATAGATGGTGCTGTGGATTTGGTGGAGGGAGGTTGTGTTTCATAGATGGTGCTGTGGATTTGGTGGAGGGAGGTTGTGTTTCATAGATGGTGCTGTGGATTTGGTGGAGGGAGGTTGTGTTTCATAGATGGTGCTGTGGATTTGGTGTAGGGAGGTTGTGTTTCATAGATGATGCTGTGGATTTGGTGGAGGGAGGTTGTGTCTCATAGATGATGGTGTGGATTTGGTGGAGGGAGGTTGTGTTTCATAGATGATGCTGTGGATTTGGTGGAGGGAGGTTGTGTCTCATAGATGATGGTGTGGATTTGGTGGAGGGAGGTTGTGTTTCATAGATGGTGCTGTTGATTTGGTGGAGGGAGGTCGTGTCTCATAGATGGTGCTGTGGATTTGGTGGAGGGAGGTCGTGTCTCATAGACATCAGCTTCTTGCCGTGTCCTCTTGTGGAAGTGATTTCTCCTGGGATCATGAGTGCCCTCATGCAAGTGCCCCCTGAACTCTGTGGCAGAAGGGTTCGATCCTACCCCAGGCACCCCCCTTATCACCGCCCGAGGCCCCACCTCACAACATCATCTTATGGGTAAGGATTTCAGCATAGGAACTTCAGGGGAATCCCAGACATTCAGTGTTATGGGTGGGGTCACTCGGTGTGTGGCCCTCACCGTGGTGGCGCGGTCGGCGGTCCCTTCCTCTCCGGCGCTGAGCAGCATTCTCTGTGTGGGTCTCTGTGCCTGTGCACCTGCTGAAGGGCCACTGGGGCTTCAGCTTTTTGGCTTTTAGGAATAATGCTGCCATGGGGCTCAGTGTGTGGTGAGTAGTGGACAGAAGGCTCTGTCCTGGTGGGTGCCCTTCCGTGGCCTGAGTTGGGAGATGAGGGCTGGCAGGGGCCTGTGGACGAGTCCAGAGTGAGGCGGAATCTCCAAGGGGCTCACATGCTGTCTGTGGAAGAGTGGGCTGGCTTTTCTCCCCAGTGGGCAGCTGTTGAAGGTTTTGGAGCCCAAACAGCGTCGCAGCTCAGTTGTCTTTCAGGAGGAGTGTGGTTGTGGGTGGGGCCGGCTGGGTCAGGGCGGGGCCATGTGGGCTGAGGTTTGAGCTGGGCCCTGCCACGTTGGGGCCACATGGCGGCTGGTTGGATAGGAGGGAGCCTCTGCCGACCAGCACCCCAGATGTGGAGCCCCAGCTGCGGGATGTGAGGTCTCAGGGTAACCAGGCATCCAGACATTGGGTCTGCGGTGTGAGGACCCCTGCGTCCCAGCTCCACAGCGCTGTGTGACAGGATGTGGCAGCAGCTGAGTTGGCAGGGGAGGCAGGGTGACCTGAAAAGCAGGCTGGGACCAAAGCGTCTTGCAAAACCACACCTCGTCACCTTGCCTGGCTTGAGTGCTGTCCCAAGCCTCACCCTAGGCCCCCCAATGGCTGGGCCAAGCAGTGGCCAGCACCTCACAGCCGCCAGAGGCCCTGGGCCACCTGGGCCTGGCTCGGCTTCTCGGGCCCAGAGCCCCTGCCTCCCTCTGCAGCCTCTCCTGGCTTGGTGAGTTATGCAGGAGACACGGGTGGCTTCCACCCAGCTGGGGTGGTGCACACGAGTTAACACGCAGCCACCCACCTGTGCAGGTGCTGCATACGTGTGCCCATGTGCATGCCTGTGTGTTCGTGTGTGCATGCAGCGTGCACGTGTGTATGTATGTGCATTCATGCGTGTGTGGTGTACACAGGTGTGTGTGTGTGTATGTGTGCGCAGGGGTGTGTAGGTGTGAGCCGCCTCCCTCCCCCATCAGTGTCCCCGATCGCCTCTGCAGACACGTGCGTGGTGTACACAGGTGTGTGTGTGTGTATGTGTGCGCAGGGGTGTGTAGGTGTGAGCCGCCTCCCTCCCCCATCAGTGTCCCCGATCGCCTCTGCAGACACGTGTGTGGTGTACACAGGTGTGTGTGTGTGTATGTGTGCGCAGGGGTGTGTAGGTGTGAGCCGCCTCCCTCCCCCATCAGTGTCCCCGATCGCCTCTGCAGACATGTGCGTGGTGTACACAGGTATGTGTGTGTGTGTGTATGTGCGCGCAGGGGTGTGTAGGTGTGAGCCGCCTCCCTCCCCCATCAGTGTCCCCGATCGCCTCTGCAGACACGTGCGTGGTGTACACAGGTGTGTGTGTGTGTGTATGTGTGCGCAGGGGTGTGTAGGTGTGAGCCGCCTCCCTCCCCCATCAGTGTCCCCGATCGCCTCTGCAGACATGTGCGTGGTGTACACAGGTGTGTGTGTGTATGTGCGCAGGGGTTTGTAGGTGTGAGCCGCCTCCCTCCGCCATCAGTGTCCCCTCCCTCCCCCATCAGTGTCCCCTCCCTCCCCCATCAGTGTCCCCGATCGCCTCTGCAGAGCTCCATGAGGTCCTTGGCTGCAGTTGTCATTTTTGCCTTCCTAGGAAAAAAGCAAAAAAGGCCAGATGCAGCGGCTCGTTGCTGCAATCCCAGCACTGTGGGAGGCCGAGGCAGGTGGATCACCTGAGGTTGGGAGTTCAAGACCAGCCTGATCAACATGGAGAAACCTCATCACTACTAAAAATACAAAATGAGCCGATCATGGTGGTGGGCGCCTGTAATCCTTGGTACTTGGGAGGCTGAGGCCGGAGAATTGCTTGAACCCAGGAGGCGGAGGTTTTGATGAGCCAAGACTGCACTGTGGCATTCCAGCCTGGGCAACAAGAGTGAAACTCTGTCTCGAAACAAGCCCACGAAATCCGCAAACAGTAGTACCCGGCCAGTCCTCATCCGGTCAGTGACCCGTGGCTTTCCAGACTCCTTCCTGACCGTCCCGGGTGCTGACGCTTGCTCGTTCGTTTCATTGTTTGGGGGTTTATGGCCTGAGGGGCCTTGTGACTTGGGTGCAGAGTTACCAAGGGGTGGTGGCTTCTGACCCAAGTGCAGGGCCCTGCTCGCCTCCTGCTGCTGTGTGAGGCCTGTGCCGGGGTGCAGGCTTGACGTGCGAGCTGGGCCTGTGCCGGGGGTAGCGTTAAGCACGTTCGGGGCCTGTGCCAGGTACAGGCTTCCAGTGTGCTGTTCTTGTGGCTTTCTGCGGGTGCTGTTTGCTATTTCCAGGGGCTGCACCTTTCCAAACAAACCCATAGAGCGGCCATCTTTTATAATAGCGTTTTGTTAAAAATAGTCTCAGCCAGGTGCGGTGGCTCACATCTGTAACCCCATCGCTTTGGGAGGCCGAGGAGGGTGGATCATGAGGTCAAGAGATCGAGACCAGCCTGGCCAACATGGTGAAACCCCATCTCTACTGAAAATACAAAAGTTAGCTGGGCGTGGGGGCGCACGCCTGTAATCCCAGCTACTTGGGAGGCTGAGGCAGAAGAATCACTTGAACCCGGGAGGTGTAGGTTGCAGGGAGCTGAGATCGCACCACTGCACTCCAGCCTGTTGACAGAGCGAGACTCTGTCTCAAAAAAAAAAAAAAAAAAATCTCACCAGGGGTCAGTCCTGACCCACAGGGGACACTGGCAGTGTCTGGGGACATCTATGGTTGTCATAGTTCAGGGGCGGTGCTCCTGGTTGGAGTGGGTGGGGGCCAGGGATGCCGCTGAGCACCCGCAGGGCCTGGGGTTCAGCACCCGTCAGTAGAGCTGAGTCCTCAAATTGCATCCCCTCTGTGCCACCACTTTTCCCTCAGGGTGTGGTGAGGGAAGGGGCTGTGGGGAGCCCTCAGGAGAAGGCGGTGTCAGCTGCACCCTCAGCCTCCTCCCTCCTGTCCTGGAGCTTTTGGTATGAGGTGAGGCTGGAGGGCGGAGGGCCACCTGAGGCAGCATCCAAGTCAACTTCTTTGTTCTGAAAGGACGAGGGTGGTAGTGGGAAGTGACGGGGAGGCATCGGCCCTGGGGCTCTCAGATAGTGACCTCCCACAGGGAGCCTGTCCCTTCTCCAGGAGCTGCCAGGAGAGGGGACCTGCGACAGGCATCTTGCACAAAGACGTCTACTGTAGGCAGCAAGGAAGGTTCCAGAAAGTATGGGCGAGTGGTGTTGGGGCTCGCAGGCTTTCTGCAGCAGAGGCTGTGAGAGGAGGTGAGCTGGGCCCCAGCACCATGCAGCCTTTAGACAGCCGGGATTGCGACAGCACTGTGGGCAGAGGGCCCAGCTCAGGACGACATGTGCGGAGGCGGGGAGGTGCTGGAAGATTCAGAGACAGCGGGTGCCGAAGGCCAGCCTGGAGAAGAGGGTGGGGGCACGTTGCGAGTGTCTAGGCCAGCGGGGCATGATGGGTTAGGACTTGAGGAGGGAGTTGAGGCGGCGTCTAGGCCAGCGGGGCATGATGGGTTAGGACTTGAGGAGGGAGTTGAGGCGGCGTCTAGGCCAGCGGGGCATGATGGGTTAGGACTTGAGGAGGGAGTTGAGGCGGCGTCTAGGCCAGCGGGGCATGATGGCTTAGGACTTGAGGAGGGAGTTGAGGCGGCGTCTAGGCCAGCGGGGCATGATGGCTTAGGACTTGAGGAGGGAGTTGAGGCAGTCACTTTTTAGAAAGTACAAGTTAACTACTGCTGTGTAATGAGGTCACCCCAAAACTTTGTACCTTAAATTAGCAACTTATTTCAGATAGTTTCTGAAGGTTGGGAATTTGGGAGCACCTTGTTGGGTGGTCCTGGACTGGGGTCTCAGAAGCTGTAGTCAAGATAACCGCCAGCCAGGGCCCCATCATCTGGCGGCTGGAGCGGGGCTGGGGGCGCCCTCGAGACCTGGCCCCTCTAGTGGCTGTGGGTGGGAGGCTTCAGTTCCTCAGCCCGCGGGCCTCTCCGTGAAGCTGCCTGAGGGGCCTCACAACATGGCAGCTGCCTGCTCCAGAGCCCCTGGCCCACGAGTGAGAGCCAGGAGGATGCGCTGTGCCTTTGTGAGCTAGCGTTGGAGATGGCGCACTGCCACTTCTGTCACGTTCTGTTTGCTAGAAGGTCACTAGAAGTCCAGCCCGTGCTCAGGGAGGGAAATAGGCTGTATTGGAAAGAAAGAGCATCAGAGATCTGTGGGCATGTTGAAAACCCAGCAGTGGCCCCGGCTTGTGAGCGTGAAGGAGGAGGGGGAACAGAGTCTGCCCTGGGGCTGACCGGGCAGTGAGAGGCCGAGGTAGGAGGGGGCTGAAATGAGGACCCCGTGTCACCAAGAATGCCTGGGGGGCTCGTCTGGGGGCTCATCTGGAGGCTGGGGTGAAGAGACAGCGGCTGCTGGGCCCTTTCCCCATAGTTTTCCAGGCTGACTTGCTGATCCTTTCGATCCTCTGGGGCCCCGGGAGCCTCAGTGCACCCATCTCTGAGATGGGGCGGTAGTTGTGCTCGTGTCTGGAAGGGCTGTGGGTATTAGCAAGGTCATGGCTGGCATGGAGGCACGAAGTGGTTCAGGGACGTGCTCAGGACCACCCACGGCAGGCACAGCTGTCCTAGTTGACCTCGCCACAACACCAGGAGGGAGAGGGGAGAGCCTTGTGGGCGCCTGGCGCACAGTGGGTGGTGAGGCTGTGGTGCTGAGAAAGCTCTGGGGAGGGGGGCGCCGAGCCCTTGGGGTGGTGCTAAGACATTCCCTTGGGGTGAGCCCATGCGGCAGGGCGCTGCCGCCACGTCTGTGCGCTGTCCCTCCAGCGGGTGTTGCTCCTGACCTGTCGTGACCATGGTAGAGTGGCACAGTCCCAGCTGTGGGCCGGTGCCCTGCGACGTGATTTGGCTTGAGACCTCGAGGTCTTTGATGTAAATACCAAACTATTGGCCCCAGGAAAGTGTGTTCTTGCAGAACTTCTGGGAAAGGTGGCTCCACTAAGACCCTGGCTTGGTGGAGGATGGGTGGGAAGGGCGCTTTGTAAACTCTTCCTGAGGCGTCTGGTGGAGATGGTCAGCCTCACGCACCTTGGTTTCCGTGCTGGGTGCGCAGCGCAGCGGGGTCTGGGTAGGAGGGGCGGCAGCAGGAGAGCCAGGCCCCCGGCTCGGCCTATCCTCATGTGCCCCACCCCGCAGGCACGGGCGAGAGCGGGAAGAGCACCTTCATCAAGCAGATGCGCATCATCCATGGCGCTGGCTACTCCGAGGAGGACAAGCGCGGCTTCACCAAGCTCGTGTACCAGAATATCTTCACCGCCATGCAGGCCATGATCCGCGCCATGGAGACGCTCAAGATTCTCTACAAGTACGAGCAGAACAAGGTGAGCCACAGGCGTGGGGGGAGCGCACCTGGGCAGCCCTGGGCTGCTGGTGTGTGCAGCCGGCCTGCCAGGCTGGGGCTGTGCGGGGTCCTGGCCAGCTGGGTTACCCTTACTCATGTTTGTTCCTGTCGTGGACGTGGAAACAGCGACCGCTGTCTTCCTGGGGGCGACTGAGAGTTAAGATGGGCATCGCCTGGCCCAGCGGCACACTTCCCCCCAAGCCTCTGTGGGCGCTGCACCCTGCGGGTGGGGAAGCTGAGGCCTGCGAGGTGAGCTGCTCGCCCGGGCCGCCTCGGGAATAAGCAGCACGAGCCCCTGGTTGCGGGGCCTTCCCTGGGCTGAGCAGCCCACCGGACACCTGGGGTCGGCCCACACGGTCAACCCATGGGGCTGCACTTCACCTTCTCGCCCTGGGGTTTTTATTCGTTGAAGTGGTCTCGCTCTGTCACCCAGGCTGGAGTGCAGTGGACCGGTCAGGGCTCATGGCAGCCTGGACCCCTGCGCTCAGGTGATTCCACCTCAGCCTCCCCTGCAGTCACCATGCCCAGCTGACTGTCGTGTTTTTTGTAGAGATGGGGTTTCACCTTGTTGCCCAGGCTGGTCTTGAACTCCTGGGCTCAAGCAGTCCTCCTGCTTTGGCCTCTCAAAGTGCTGGGATTACAGGTATGAGCCACTGTGCCCGGCCTTCGCCCTAGTGTTTTTCCTTTAACAAAGTAGAAGTGGTTTGATGCCCTGTTTTTCAGTGACTTTATCGAGCTCTAATCCGCATTCTGTGCGCGTCACTTGCTCGAGTGTCTAATCTGGCGGCTCTCGACATATTTACATAGTTGTGCAGCCTCCACCACTGCCTGATTCCAGAACATTCATCTTCCCAAAGGAAGCCCCATCCCCGTCCTCCAGCCCGGCACCCACACATCCCCTTCCTGCCTCTGTGGATGGGCCTGTCCTGGCCATTTCATAGGAATGGGGTCACACAGCATGGCCTTCGTCTGGCGGCTCTCACTGAGTGTGGCGTTGTCAGGGCGCATCCGCGTGGCGACCGGCCTCAGAACCATGTCCCTGTTTGTGGCTGAGTCCCATTCCAGTGCGTGGAGGGACTGGGTGTTTGCCCATTATTCCCTGGTGGACATTTGAGCGTCTTCCTGTGTGGGCTTTTGGGAACGGAGCTGCTGTGACGGTCTGTAGACGTGCATGTGTGCGGACAGCGTGCTCCCTTCCCTCAGTTGTACACCCGGTAGTGGAATTGCCCTCTGAGAAGCCTCCCCCGTGGCCACTTTAGGGGCAGGCCCAGCCGCCGTGCCACCGTGGTTCCTGCCAGTGGTCTCTCTGGGCCCTTCCAGCCACGGAGCCACTGATGCCACTTCTGTAGCCCTGTTTTCCTGGGTGGGTCTGTTGCTTTTGGATCCCAGTTTACCACTTGCCCTGCCTCTGCTGTGATCCCTTCCAGCGGTGGCCTCTCCGAGTCCAGGTTCACATGTGGGCTTAGATTCCATCAGCATCTGAAACAGGCACCTGCAGGCTGCAGACTGATGTTGTCGATAAAGTTTTATTGGCACATGCCCATTTCTGCCATGTTGCCCGTGGTGCTTTGGCAGCGGCGGCAGAGCTGAGTGCTGGAGGCCATCCGTGTGGTCGGCAAAGCTGGGCACGCTCTCTGGCCCTCTGCAGAAGCAGGTTGCTGGTCCTGAACCTGGAAGTTTCCAGGGAGTGGGATTTTTGGTGTTTGTGTCTCTTTTTCCAAGTCCCCCAAGGTGTGCTTAGCTCAGATTGAGAAGCTGGGGCAGGGCTAGGGGAGGGCTGAAGCTGGAGTTGGGGCCAGGGAGTGTTGTTCACAGGGGACGACAAGGGCAGAGTCTCCACTCTGGGAGCCCAGGGACTCCCTTCTTCCCCATCTTGGGTCCCACCCATTGGGTCCTCTCCCCAGTGGCTGGTTGTGTAGTCCTGTGCGCCCCTGGACAGGCACTCAGAGCAGCAGGAGGCGAATAGCCTTCCCAGCGTCTGCCCCTGAAGGGGGTGTGTGTGTGAGCACGTGTGTGAACATGTGTGTTGTGTGTGTGCGTGTGTTTGGTCAGCCTTCTTTTGTAGATGGGGCAGCAAACCTGTAGAAGGCGCACCTTGTTCCCCAGACACCAGGCGCGCGGCTGCAGGGGACGCTCAGACGCTTATTTTCCCAGTGTCTGCTGACACCTGCACACCCGGCACTTTCAGAGACCAAGGCAGGGGGATCGCCTGAGTCCAGGAGTTCGAGACCACGCTGGGCAACATAGCAAGACCTCATCTCTACAAAAAACATTAAAAAATTAGCTGGGCGGCTCATGCGCTGGGCACGGTATCAGCCATTGAGTGCAGTGGCTCGGGGCCACCTGTCCTCAGCGCCAGGTGTGGTGCCTGCTCTTGATGGTCTTTGATAAGCATTTTCGGATCCAAGAGAGAAGCCAGGCAGGGCGGAAACCGAGTCTGGAGCTGCAGTGGCCTGTGACTCGGCTTCCCACCTCCCGGCGTCTGGAGAATCCGAGGCAGTGAGTGCTGGGGTATCGCCCGCTCCCCGCCCCCCGTCGCCGTCTGTCCTGTGGTCATGCTTGGCACCGTCCCGCCCTCCTGTGGGTCCTCCCCTTGCTTGGGTTTGAAGTGTGTTCCCCATGCCATCCCCTCCCACCTCTGAGAAGCCAGTGGAAGCCTGGCCTCCCAGCCGCCTGCAAACCGCCCTGCTGGTAGGAACCGCATGGCGAGGCGGCCTGGTGTTTTCCTGACGCGTGTTCACACGAAACTGTCATTGGTCCTGAGTGTGCAGCCTGCAGAATGCTGCTGGTCCAGTGAGGCCTGGAAGAGGGGCCACCAGCTTTCTGGTGGCTCCATGACCTCTGAAGCCCTTGGCCTCTTCCCCTCCCGCCCTCACAGGCCAATGCGCTCCTGATCCGGGAAGTGGACGTGGAAAAGGTGACCACGTTCGAGCATCAGTACGTCAGTGCCATCAAGACCCTGTGGGACGACCCCGGCATCCAGGAGTGCTATGACCGCAGGCGCGAGTACCAGCTCTCTGACTCTGCCAAGTAGTGAGTGTGGCCGTGCGTCTGCGGGAGGGGGACAGCGGCTGCAGGCTGGCACTGCGGACCCTTCGGGAAGCCCTCTGTAGCCCCTGTGGTGCCCCCTGCCCACCAGCCTAGGGCACGGACGTGGTGGGACCCGGCCACCTTGCCGGATGGAGGGACCAGAGCAGACCAGGACGGGCGACACCTTATCGGGAGCCTGTGGACTCTGGTGTAGCCCTGGCCTCCCTGCGCACCTGGCCCTGCCGCCCTCCCCGGGTGGGACTGAGCTCCTGTCCCTGCCACCCTCCCCGGGTGGGACTGAGCACCTGGCCCTCCCCAGCACTGGGGGAGACCCTAAGGGGACAGGGATAGGCCCATCCCCCACCCCTCCTGCCTGTCCTCTCTGTGTTCCCTGCCTCTGGGGGGCTGTAGGAGGGCCCAGATCACCAAGCACTTGGAACCAAATGCCAGGGCCTTCGGGCAGAACTGGAAGGTGGGCTGCAGCCTCCCCGGCCTCTCACAGCCCCACCAGGGAGACCACTTGGGACTGCCCACGGCATCAGAAATGGGAAACTGTCAGAGCCCACAGGGCCTCAGGAGATGCCGCAGCTGAACGCCGTGTGGGGTCCCAGAGTGGGGTTGCGAGGGCATGAGGGGAAACTGAGGAAGCTAGAATCAAGTATGGGCTTGAGTGGCTGCACTCTGAAGATGCTGGCTCACTGCTCATGGTGGGTGCTGCGCCCAAGTGCAGGGAGCAGCAGGGAGACGGGCGCGGGGATCTGCCGGGGCCTCTGCAGCCGCCACTCTCCTCTGTGCGCTTACTTGTGAAGCCTCAAGCCTGGGGCAGCCCACGCGTGACCTGCCCTGGGGCACCATCTCCCGCTTGGTGGCCGTCTCTGGGCAGCTCCAGGACAAGGCCCTAGACTAGCTGGAGTCCTCGTCCTGGGAGTTTCTCTTGTGCTGGGTCATTTTCCGTCCCCCAAGGACACAGAGGAACCCGCGCCTCTTGCTCAGATAGAGCTGAGAGGCTCGCACCCAACACCAGGGTCTCCCTGCAGCTGCTTCAGACCCTGCTGTGGGTGGCGCAGTGCACGGGCCGCACCCTCCCTGTGGCTTCCCGTCCCCCTGCTGGTTTGCATGCTGTGTCCCCATTCGTCCTGTCCCCCCACCCCGCAGCCAGCCTGAGGGCCCCCCCTTGACCCCCATGTTGCAGCTACCTGACCGATGTTGACCGAATCGCCACCTTGGGCTACCTACCCACCCAGCAGGACGTGCTGCGGGTCCGCGTGCCCACCACCGGCATCATCGAGTACCCTTTCGACCTGGAGAACATCATCTTCAGGTACCACCTGGCCACTGCTGGCGGGGAGGGCACCTCGTTCCCCAGACACCAGGCCCCCAGCTGCAGGGGATGTTGAGACGCTCATTTTCCCAGTGTCCGGACACACCTGCACACCCGGCGCCTTAGGAGGCCAAGGCAGGGGGATCGCCTGAGCCCAGGAGTTTGAGACCACCCTGGGCAACATAGCAAGACCTCATCTCTACAAAAAGCATTTTAAAAATTAGCCGGGCGTGGTGCTGTGCCTGTGGGCCCAGCTACTCGGGAGGCTGAGGCGGATGAATCGCTTGAGCCCGGGAGGTCGAGGCTGAAGTGAGCCATGATCACACCATGGACTCTAGCCTGGGTGACGCGGGAGACCCTGTCTCGTCTCAGTAAATGCAGAAAGCCGTTGGTCTTCATCCTCAGGCTGTTCGAGCAGGTCAGGAGACAGGGTTTATCTCTCAGTGTGTGTGAGCCAGCACCACCAAGGAGGGGCCCGGGTCGGATGGAGTGAGTGTGGGGCTGGGGGCCCGCTGCAGGGTGCCGGAGGGGCCATAGGCATGGAGGCTGTGAGGGGAGGGTCACAGGGACGGAGGCTGTGAGGGGAGGGTCACAGGGACGGAGGCTGTGAGGGGAGGTCACGGGGACGGAGGCTGTGAGGGGAGGGGGTCACGGGGACGGAGGCTGTGAGGGGAGGGGGTCACGGGGACGGAGACTGTGAGGGGAGGGGGTCACGGGGACGGAGGCTGTGAGGGGAGGGGGTCACGGGGACGGAGACTGTGAGGGTGGGGGTCACGGGGACGGAGGCTTGTGAGGGGAGGGGGTCACGGGGACGGAGGCTGTGAGGGGCGGGGGTCACGGGGACGGAGACTGTGAGGGGAGGGGGTCACGGGGACGGAGGCTGTGAGGGGAGGGGGTCACGGGGACGGAGACTGTGAGGGTGGGGGTCACGGGGACGGAGGCTGTGAGGGGAGGGGGTCACGGGGACCGAGGCTGTGAGGGGAGGGGGTCACGGGGACCGAGGCTGTGAGGGGAGGGGGTCACGGGGACGGAGGCTGTGAGGGGAGGGGGTCACGGGGACGGAGGCTGTGAGGGGAGGGGGTCCCGGGGACGGAGGCGGTGAGGGGAGGGGGTCACGGGGACGGAGGCTGTGCGGGGAGGGGGTCACGGGGACGGAGGCTGTGAAGGGAGGGGGTCACGGGGACGGAGGCTGTGAGGGGAGGGGGTCACGGGGACGGAGGCTGTGAGGGGAGGGGGTCACGGGGACGGAGGCTGTGAAGGGAGGGTCATGGGGACGGAGGCTGTGAGGGGAGGGGCTCCAGGCTGGGGAGGAGCTGGGTGACATGGATTCTGTTCTTCGTGGGCTGCCCCTGCAGATCCCAACGGGCTTCTGGGGCTCCAGGGTCCGATGTGGCTGCCGGTCAGCAGAGCAGTGTTCTCCCTGGGGACCCTCAGTGCTGGGAGGCTGCACAGCTGCTGGATTCTGCCGTCCCTGGGAATGTGGGCCCTGCCCGTGTGGCTCTTGGCCCTGCATACCATCTCTAGCACCGAGGTCCTGGCTGCTGTGGAGCCGCTGAGGGGCAAGGCTGTGTGTGCCTGTCCTGGCTGCCCGTTCGGGGTGTGAGGCTTCAACCGCAGGCCCGATCCCTACCCGGTGCAGGAGGCCAGAAGGCTGACGTGAAGGTGTGGGTGGGGCCGGGTCCTTCTGAGGCCAAGGGGACCTGCCCAGGCCTCTCCCAGCTCCTGCTGGTGGCCATGTCCTTGACGTTCCTTGACTTGTGGCCAAGTTGCCCACCCTGCCGTCATCGTCACGCGGCGTCCTTCCTGCCTATGTGGTCACCTCTGTTCTCTGAGGACCCTGTCCTTGGCTAGGGCCCCCTGCCTCTGTGTGGCGCCATCCTAAACAGTGACATCTGCACAGACCGTTTCCAGGTCAGACCCGATCCCCAGGTTTCAGCATGGGTGGGGGTGCTAGCCGGCTCTGTCCTGGAGGGCCTCTCCAGCTGGTGCCCTGCCAAGGCCACTGTGAGGGTTCCAGGAAGTCTGGGTTTCCCTGAGGCCCCTGCCCTGAGACCTATCCCAGGACCAGAGGTGCCGCCCCTGCCGTCCGCTTGTTCTCCCCACCTGTCCTTCCAGCCCGGCTTCCCAGTGCAGGCAGGGAGGATGCGGCTTGAGGACAGAGGCAGGGCTGGAGCAATGTGGCCTCAGGCCAAGGAACGCCAAGCCCTGGGGTGGTTCCCTTGCCCCGAGCAGGCGCTGGGCCTCAGAAGCTGTGGCGTCCTCTCTGGACATGGGCGATGGTGGATTGTTAAGAGAAAGGTTTTTTTCTTTACATGGGGCCCATGACCCCAGGATAAAACTGAGGCCAGCTGGGCACAGGCCAGGATGTGGCATGAATGTCCCCTCCCCACCTCGTGTCTCAGGGTCCCTTTGCAGCCTCACGCTGGCCTCTTCACAGCGCAGGCCTTCTGTGCCATCTGTCGGGAATGTCTGCCCTCCCCGAGCTCACTGCCTCCCCTTGATCTCCTGGGCCGCTCCTGCTCCGGCTGTGCCCTCTGTGCTGAGTGCAGAGCCCTGGCCTGAGCCTGCGCCTCCGCTGCCATCGTTTCTCTGCCAGCCGCCTCTGTCCATCATGAGCCCACAGAGGGCAGCCCAGGTGCTCTGGGACAAAGCTGGTGGCTTGGTCTATGCCTGGAGGCCTTGAAGGCTGGTGGGATTGCCCCAGTGCACCAGGAGAGGCGCCTGCTCCCTCAGGTGGGGAGAAGACACTGGGGACCCGGGTCCCAGCCTTGCCAGCCTCCACAGGTGTGCAGGGGAGGCCTTTCGTTCCCCGTCGCTCTCCCGCCTGGCTGCAGCTGCTAGTGCAGGAGGGCCTACTCCTGTCCCTTAGAGTCACCTGGCACGTCTGTGGTCCACCTGTGCCTGCTGGTCTCCCCGCCCCACAGACCAGACCAGGCGGAATCTGCCGCTCGCATGCCAGGGCAGTCCCGCTATCCTGGGCAGAGATTCAGGGACCCCGCCCTCCCTGGGGCCTGGGGCTGAGGCTCTCCGATTCTGCCTTTGTGTTTTTTCTTTTTTTTTTTTGAGATGGAATTTTGCTCTTGTTGCCCAGGCTGGAGTGAGTGGCATGGCCTCCACCTCCTGGGTTCCAGCGGTTTTCTGGCCTCAGCCTCCTGGGCTCCAGCGGTTTTCTGGCCTCAGCCTCCTGGGCAGCTGAGATTACAGTTATACACCACCACGCTCAGCTCATTTTGTATTTTCAGTCGAGACAGGGGTTTCTCCATGTTGGTCAGGTTGGTCTTGAACTCCCAGCCTCAAGTGATCTGCCTGCCTTGGCCTTCCAGAGTGCTGGGATTATAGGCGTGAGCCACTGTGCCCAGCCTGTATCTTTCTAGAAAACTTAGAAAAGTCACAAGTGGAAAGAGGTGAATCCCCTGTGACGGAGCCCGCCCGCAGACATCGTCTCAGCCGCTGTTCTTTCTGCCGCTGTTGTGTGTGGCTAAGTGTGGGGTTGAGCTTCTCACTGTGTGAGGCGGGGGCTCCGCCGGCCCTTCTCCCCAGGCGGAGGCTGACAATTCCGCCCTCTGCAGCCGCACACCGTGGGGCACTGCGGGGAGTGACTGTGGCATCAGTGTTGACTCCTGTGAAATCTGCGCCCCTGACCCCAGTGAGGGGAATCGCCTCTGTGCTTAGGGTGATGTCTGACATTCAGACGCCGGCTCTAGGGTCCCAGGGTACCATTGCAGGTTCCTGTGGCAGCTGATGCCCCGAATCCCCTGGGTTCTCAGGTCCCCACCCTGGCACCCACTTCCCTGGGCCCTGTGGCCTCTGGGACCCTTTACCAGTGATGGAGGGGCCTGCGGCGGGCACTCCTGGAGGTGGTGCGCCCACTCTCGGGGTGCGTCCTTGACGGTTTCAACATTGGGAGCTCTTGTGCGGCAGCCGCCGTCCAGTCTGGTGTGGCAGGAGGGGCCTGGCTGGGGGCCGTCCTTGGACAGCAGACTGGGCCTTGGGGCCACAGGTGGCTGAGTCCTGGTGCCGTGTCCTTCCAGGATGGTGGACGTCGGGGGACAGCGGTCAGAGCGGAGGAAGTGGATCCACTGCTTCGAGAATGTCACGTCCATCATGTTCCTCGTCGCCCTCAGCGAATACGACCAAGTCCTGGTGGAGTCGGACAACGAGGTGGGTGCCGCCCTGAGCAGGGCCAGCGTGGGGGCTGGGCCTTCCCCGCCCGCTGAGCCCGGGGCCCCTCGGCCGTCCGCGGGTGCATGCCGGGGGTGGGGGCCGCTCTGAGCCCCGCTGCCTTCGCTCCCGCAGAACCGGATGGAGGAGAGCAAAGCCCTGTTCCGGACCATCATCACCTACCCCTGGTTCCAGAACTCCTCCGTCATCCTCTTCCTCAACAAGAAGGACCTGCTGGAGGACAAGATCCTCTACTCACACCTGGTGGACTACTTCCCCGAGTTTGACGGTGCGGCCTGCGGCCGGGCTGGGCTCACGGGAGGGAGGTCTCAGGTCTCATGAGGGGGTTCCTGTACGGGAATGAGTTCTCCATCGTGGGTGTCCCATACCCATTGGAGGAGTCTGTGAGGCAGGGAGATCTCAGCTGGGAGGGGTCTCGGGTGGGAGGGGTCTTGTACAAGGAGGGCACCATGGGAGAGAAGTCTCGTATCGGTGGGTCTGGTATGGGGGCAGTTGTGTGGGGTATTCTGTATGAGGAATCCCCTCTGAAGGCGTCTCACAGGAATGCTTTGTGCACACACTGTGGGGACCTTGGCGGTAGCCCGTGTCCTCTTCTGTGTCCTGGTACCCGCCCCCCCGCAGAGCCCTCCTTCCCTCCATGGCCCCAGCCTCACAGGCTGTGTCAGGGCAACTGAGCACTGGGGTCTCCACACTCCCACCTCCCTCTGGGCCTGGGGGTGGCGGCCAGGGAGGGTGTGCCCTTGCCTGTGCGGTCAGTGGTGCGTTAGCGCTCTCACCACTCAGAGCTGTTACTGCCCGGCACAGCGAGGCCCCAGCTGCTCTGGCACCTTCGTTTCCATCCGGCTCAGCGCTACTCCTGTGGGTCTCGGGTCTCGGGTGTCATTTTCTGGAGGGGCAACAGGAGGGAGGGGTCTGGCACATGGTGTGGCCTCGGCCCTGCTACCTCTATTGCCCCCGCTCCGGCCGCACGTGGCCCCTGCCTGGCAGCTTGTCCCATGGGTTCAGGGAGCCCTGGCAGGAGGAAGCCCAGGCCCTGGATGTGGGACCCTGTCCTGCCAGCCCCAAGGCAGCCTCCTGGACACCCCCAGGGCCTTTGCATCCAGCAGGCAGGAGTCCAGGGTGGTGGCGGAGCAGGGGTGGTGGGTGGGAAACATCACCCTTGCTGGAGCCTTCAGGGCACTGTGTGGGTGGCTGGGGGCCGCTGTTCCTGCTCTGTGGGCTCTGTGCCCAGCCCTGGGGGCCTCCTCTGACCCTGGGCCCTCACAGGGCAGCCGTGCTGGAGTCTGGAAGGCTGTGGCTGTGGAGCTGAGTGGGTAGAGGCCACAGTGGGCTCTGGGCTGGGGTGGAGCCGGGCCCCCGAGAGTGAGAAAGGGGCCCGTGTGTCCTTTGCCCCAGGCCAGGCTGGGCACAGCCTCCCCTTCCGCCTCCCCAGGGCCCCAGCGGGACGCCCAGGCGGCGCGGGAGTTCATCCTCAAGATGTTCGTGGACCTGAACCCGGACAGCGACAAGATCATCTACTCGCACTTCACCTGCGCCACCGACACGGAGAACATCCGCTTCGTGTTCGCGGCCGTGAAGGACACCATCCTTCAGCTCAACCTCAAGGAGTACAACCTGGTCTGACGGCGCCGGCCGGGCCTCTGCCCGCGGGAGGAGTGTTTTCGTATTTTTAACATGGTTTTTATTTCACAGTACCGGGGGATGTGCGTCTTTCCGTGCACCGCGTGCGTCTTCTCACCTTTCATCGGCGGCAAAGGCGGCCTTTTTCTGGCCTTGACTTATGGCTCGCTTTTTTCTAAAAAAAAAGAAAAAGAAAAAGAAAAAAACCCTACGAAACATGAAACACATGTGCGCCCTGTGCTCCCAGCGACTCTGGGCCTCGCCGAGCCCCTGGCAGCCCGCGTGGGGGCCCCGCCCCGCAGCCCCGCCCGTCCCCGCACCGCTGTCCTTCCCAGCCGCCTGCTTTTCCTTTCTCCCCCGCTGCTTCCTCATCACGGAAGGTGTGGAGACTCGGAGACTGACGTTTTCCCCTTTTTTAAGTTATTGACGCCCAGCGCGCCTCCCTCTTCACGACTCAATGCTGTGTTTTGCCCACTGGACCCCTGAAGAGGGGGTGGGGGGCTCCCTCAGTCGCCCACCCTGGGAAGTGCCTAACCTTTTTTTTTTTTTTTTTTTTTTTGAGGAAAAAGAACGCCTGACTGCACAGGCTGTAGCAACACCCTGGGCCCCCTCATGGCCAGGTCGCCCGTCTCTCTGCAGAGGCTGGGAGGGTCCCTAGGCTGGAGCCATGGGGGCTCAGGGCTCCTTCAGGCTGTGCCGCCAGGGCCAGCGTCGGCCGCTTGGGGCCGCCCTGCCCCGGCTGGAGGGCACCTCACTGCGGCCCACGTGGGCTGGGTGACTGACACCGGGAGAAAGGCCTCCTGGCTGGGCCATTTCTTTTCCTTGGTTCGCTTTGTGTTGTCACCAATTTGGAAACAGTGAGGGTGGGGTGGGGACTTTCACATTCTCAGGTGTGTACCCGAGAGGCAGAGAGAGGGACGTGGCTGGCAGCTCCGTGTGTGGCCTTGTCCCAAGCACTTGTGCCTGCACCCCCCGCCCCCCGTGCCGCCCCCAGGGGCGGGGAGGGGTGGGGAGGGGGCGGGAACCAGCACTCGCACTTTGGCCAGGGCCAGGGGAAGATGGCAGCAGGCACCGGCCCGGGCAGCTTCCCAGCCTCACTGGCCATGGCCCGAGGGGGAGCCCGCCAGGCCACCTGCACTGAGCCACAGCCCGGGATCCTCCTCCTGGGGTCCCTTTAGGCACTGAGGCACCGAGGCTGGTTCTCCCTGGAGACTTCGAAGCTGTGGAGCGAGGGACTGTTTTGGGAGGCAGCTTTCCCTTTCCTGTTGACTGAACACTACAGTGCTGTGTGGGGCGGGGCTGGCACAGCTGGCTCAGGGGTGGATCGCCCGCTGCCTTTCCTGCCTGAGGCGGACTCTGCCCCGCGGCTGCTAGCCTTGACAGATGACAAAAGAAACAGCCCCAAAGTCAGAGCACCCTGACCAGCAGTTCCTGCCCGCCGTTGTAGGGCCTGCCCCGGCCTCCTTGTCCGCAGGGCTGTCTGCTGGCTTCTGGGGGGAGAAGCAGGGGCGCCCCATGGAGGGGGTGCATGCAGGTCAGGGCAGCTACGTTTCTGGTGATGAGCCCCAGCGGGAGAAGGGCTGGCGGGACCCCCAGCTTCCCCGTGCCCCTTTTCTTCTTTTCTCTCCCAGAAGCATCCCTTTCTTTGTGCCAAGTGTCTACCTAAGATGGTTGGTGCCAAGAAGCCCCCCATGGCGGGTGCCTGGGGGTCCAGCCGTGGCCTGGGTAGCAGATGGGGCCAACCCTGGCAGAGTCGCTACACCCATTTCCGAAGTGGACTCCTCTGGGGCCTGGGCTTGTGGCATCTCTGAAGGGACCCAGACCTGGCCTGAGGGTTCAGTTGCCCAGTACTCGGGCCGGGATGCCACTGGGCTAAGTATTAGCTTTTCCTGGGGAGGGGCCGTGCCAAGCATCCCAGAGCCAGGCTGGGGCCGCCAAACTATCTTGGCCCGGGTCCTCTGGGTCCGAGTGCCTGATCCCCCTCCCGCCAAAAAAGCAGAGGTGGGTGCTGCAGGCCCGGGCGGGGTGCCTGCCCCAGTAGAGTCCCAGGCAGTGGTTCTCGTGCCATTGACACCCTCGGGTTGGGGAAGGGGCAGCTGACCCCCACCTTGCCTCATGTGGGGCCACGTGTGGGGTGTTTGACCTTGGTGACTCACCTGCCGGTTCACTCTCATGAGTGCTGACCACCTCCGACCACGTCACGCCCAGGCGGTAGCAGTCCCCGGCCACTGCAAGGCCCACGCCCTGGGTCCCCCGGCTCCTCCAGAGGGGCGTCCCGTGCCAATGTCCCCCAGTGGTGGCAGCGGGTCCTGCGGCCGGCCTGGTGGACGGGACCCGGTGATACTTGTATATTACACAATCCTGATTTCAGACAATTTCAACCTTAATCTATTTAAAAAAGAATATTCTATACAATGCTGTTTTTAAACCTTTTACCATTTGAAATGCATGTGTTGTGCGCATTGGGGGAATGGGAGGAGGGGCTGAGGCGCGGCTCAGTGTCACCTCCCGTGGCCACTGGCCCTGACCCTTCCTCCAGACACTGATGGAAGTCGACTTTTCATATCTTTCTCCTGAAATGAACTCTGTTTTAAATTGGAATAAATTTTGTTCCTAAATGCTGGCGGCCCCCTTCTGGTTAATTTCCTGTTACCCTTCCAAGAGGGTTGGGGGTGAGTGTGCAGAGGCCTGGCCCCCAGGAGCCCTGGACTCCCCAGGGTGTTTCCTGCCCCTGGGAGAGCCTCCTGGCCGCATCCCAACGGTGTCCCGGGGCCTCTCCGCCATCATCTTGTTTGATCCCGGGCTTCAGGTTCATTTCACTAGCACCAGGCCGCAGCAACCCCCCTGGGACATGCCGCCTTGTTTGGGGGACTAGGGAGTGAGAAGGGGAGGAGCCCAGGTCCTGGGCCGGCCGACCGCCCACCGTCCAGGGCACCTGTGGGGAAGTCCTGCCCTCCCGGCCTCCGTTTCTGTAAGCTGCAGACGTGGGCCCTCTGCAGTCTTCCTTCAGTTATTTTTTCCTTTTGGAAAAAAGTGAATAGTAAAATACAGATAGCAAACATCTCAGCGCACAGCTGAGTGGCATTTCGTGCACCCAGGCACATCCTCTCCAGAACCTTCTCTTCCCAAACTGAAACAGACCCTGTGAAACCCTCCCCACCCCCGACACTCCCCCATCCTACCCTCCGTCTCTGTGAGTCTGATGGCGCTAGGGACCTCCTAGGAGTGGAACCCCACGGGGTGTGTCCTGTGTCTGTGGTATCTCCCACTGAGCGTGGTGTTCTCAAGATGCACACTGCAGCCTGTGCCCAGGTTCCCTTTTCACGGCTCAGTGACCCTCCACAGTGTAGGTGGGCCGTGCTGTGTTGATCTGTCCGTTGTTGATGGATGTCCGTCCGGGCGGCTTCTACCTTGTGGCTTCTGGGAATTGGGCCACTGTGTCCCTGCGTGCGCAGGCTTCTGCTTGAGTCCCTGCTGTCAGTCCTTCTGGGTGTGCATCCAGAGGTAGCATACTAGGCCCTCTGCTCCTGTTTTTTTTGTTTTTTGTTTTTTTTTTGAGATGGAGTCTTGCTCTGTCGCCAGGCCAGAGTGCAATGGCGCAGTCTCAGCTCACTGCAGCCTCCACCTCCTGGGTTCAAGCGATTCTCCTGCCTCAGCCTCCAGAGTAGCTGGGACCACATGCACGCGCCACCACGCCCAGCTAATTTTTTTTTTTTTTTTTGTATTTTTAGTAGAGATGGGGTTTCACCATGTTGACCAGGCTGGTTTCAATCTCCTGACCTTGTGATCTGCCCGCCTTGGCCTTCCCCCAAAGTGTTGGGATTACAGGCGTGAGCCACCACGCCCGGCCCTGCTCCTTCTATTTTGATTTTTTGGGGAGCCGCCCGACTGTTCTCCGTAGTAGCTGTGCCACATCCCGTCCCATCAGCTGTGCACGAGGGGCGTGATTTCCCCACATCCTCTTTCAGCTTCATTGAGTCTGATAGGCCTGTCGGTCAGATGGGCCTCGAGGACCTTTGCTGTGCCCGACCCTGCACTGGATGCTCCAGTACAGCGGAGAAGGTGGCACTGAGACCGTGACTTCATCTAGGAAGAGAAATGGAGCAGGGAAGTGACACTGGAGGGGCAGATGATGGCTCTTTTATTTCCTTTTCGAGATGGAGTCTCACTCTGTCACCCAGGCTGGAGTGCAGTGGTGCGTTCTCAGCTCACTGCAACCTCCGCCTCCGAGGTTCAAGCCATTCTCCTGCTTCAGACTCCTGAGTAGCTGGGACTACAGGTGCCTGCGCCACCATGCCCAGCTATTTTTTTTTTCTATTTTAAGTAGAGACGGGGTTTCACCATGTTGGCCAGGCTGGTCTCGAACTCCTGACCTTGTGGTCCGCCCACCTTGGCCTCTGAAAGTGCTGGGATTACAGACGTGAGCCACCGCACCCGGCCGATGGTGGCTGTTTCTGGCAGGCTGTTTAGGAAAGGCCTGAGAAATATGTGATTAGCATCCTGGGAGACAGGAAGGGAGGGAGCCATGCTGGGGCCTGAAGGGGAGCCAGGCAGAGGCACAGCCTGTGAGGCCTTGGGGCAGGACCACGCCTGGTGTGTTGGAGGAACAGCGAGGAAGCCTGTGTGGCTGGCGCAGAGGGAGGAGAAGAGAGGAAGGGGTGGAGGGCAGAGAAGGGCCGGGGCTTTTACCCTCAGAGGAAGGTGGGAGCCATGGAGGGCTGCGGACAGAGCAGGGACAGGACCTGACTTAGGTGCTCATAGGTGCCCTCTGGTGGCTGCCGTGGGGAGGAAAGGTGGGCAAGGGCGGAAGCCAGGAGACTGGGCTCCTGCGGGCGGCGATGATGGGGGGGGTGGACCAGGTGGCAATGATGGGGGGTGGACCAGGTGGCAATGATGGGGGGTGGACCAGGTGGCAATGATGGGGGGTGGACCAGGTGGCAGAAGCAGAGGTGGAGGGGTCAGCCAAGGGGCGTTGAGCGCTGGGGGGAGCTGGGCCTGGCGTGGATGTCACAGGTGCGTGTTGTGCCCCCAGTGGCCAGCAGGTGTCGCCCCAGACAGCTCCTTGCCTTCCCCTGGTCCCCTCCCTGCCCATCCTGAAAGAGGCACAGAAGGTGCATGTCTTTTGAACCTGACGGCTGGGCGGCCCTTTCCAGGTCTCGACACCAGCCCCCGCCTGGTCAGCCGGGCAGGCAGCTCCAGCACCCTCTGCAGAATCTGTATGGCCTGGAGCTAAATGAAAAAATAGGGCCCCCGTTTAAAAATTCCGAAAAGGCTGGGTGCGGTTGCTCACACCTGTCATTTCAGCGCTTTGGGGGGTCCAGGCGGGCAGATGATTTGAGGTCAGGAGTTCGAGACCAACCTGGCCACATTGGCGAACCCGACATCTCTACTAAAAATACAAAAAATTTGCAAGGTGTGGTGCATGCCTGTAGTCCCAGCTACTTGGGAGCCTGACGCACAGTCGTTGCTTGAACCTGGGAGGCGAAGGTTGCAGTGAGCCGAGATCGCGCCATTGCACTCCAGCCTGGGAGACGGACTGAGAATCCTCAAAATCAATAAATAGCCCGGGTGTGGTGGCTCATATCTGTCTACTAAAAATACAAAAATTAGCCGGGCGCGGTGGCTCACGCCTGTAATCCCAGCACTTTGGGAGGCTGAGGTGGGTGGACCACTTGAAGTCAGGAGTTTGCGGCCAGCCTGGTCAACATGGTGAAACTCTGTCTCTACCAAAAATATAAAAATTAGCCAGGCGTGGCGGCGGACGTCTGAAGTCCCAGCTACTCAGGAGGCAGAGGCCATTGCACTCCATCCTGGGCAACAGAGTGAGACTCTTAAAAAAAAAAAAAGGATAAAAGAACTTGGAGTTGGCCGGGCGCGGTGGCTCACACCTGCAACCCCAGCACTTTGGGAGGCCAAGGCAGGCAGATCACAAGGTCAGGAGTTCGAGACCAGCCTGGCCAACATAGTGAAACCCCATCTCTACTAAAAATACAAAAAAAAAAAAAAAAAAAAATTAGCCAGATGTGTTGGCGGGCACCTGTAATCCCAGCTACACGGGAGGCTGAGGTGGGAGAACTGCTTGAACCTGGGAGGCGAAGGTTGCAGTGAGCCGAGATCGCGCCATTGCCCTCTAGCCTGGGTGACACAGCAAGACTGTCTCAAAACAAAAACAAAAGAAAAAACTTGGAGTTATTAGAAGTGTAAGTTGGTCCACGCACTTTGGCAAAAGATGGTTAATATCTAGGAAATACTCTATAACCCAGCAGTTCTACCACTGGATATTGAGTCACAGAAAGCCATACAAATAATCACAAGACATGTACCAAATGTCCACAGCTATCCTGTTCATTACAGACCCAAACTGAAATTGAACCAAATGCCCATCAACAGTAGAATGGATGAGTAGATTGCAGCTTATTCACCCAGAGGAACAGTCTGTGACGAACCATGACCACGTGCAAGGTATGAATTCATCACACACATCATGTTAAATGGTAGAAGCCAGGCGCACCCGAATTCATTTTCTGTAATTCTGTTTGCATAAAGTTCAAAGCTGGCAAAACTTCACCATGATTTTTAGGATTTAAAAAGTCCGGCCGGGAGTGATGGCTCACGCCCGTAATCCCAGCACTTTGGGAGGCTGAGGCAGGTGGATCACCTGGGGTCGGAAGCTCGAGACCAGCCTGACCAGCGGGGAGAAACCCCATCTCTACTAAAAATACAAAATTAGCCAGGGGTGGTGGCGCACGCCCGCAATCGCAGCTATTGTGGAGGCTGAGGCAGGAGAATCGCTTGAACCCGGGAGGCAGAAGTTGCGGTGAGCTGAGATTACACCACTGCACTCCAGCCTGGGCAACAAAAGTGAAACTCTGTCTCAAAAAACAAAAAAGAAAAAAGAAATGAAAGTAAATATAATGCTACATAAACATAAATTTAAACAATTAAAAACAAAAGAAATCCTTTTTTTTCCCCCCCTGAGCCCAGGGCACCACTCTGTCACCCAGGCTGGAGTGCAGTGGTTCTATCAGAGCTCACCGGAGCCTCAACCTCCCTGGACAAGCAATCCCACCTCGGCCTCCAGAGTAGCTGAGACCACAGGCAAGAGCCACCACGCCTGGCTAATTTGCAATTTTTTTTTAGAAATAGGGTCTTACCAGGAGACAGAGGTTGCAGTGAACCAAGACTGTGCCATTGGACTCCAGCCTGGGCGACAAGAATGAAACTGCGTCCCCGCCCACAAAAAAAAAAAAAGAAGTGAGGTCTCACTATGATGCCCAGGCCGGTCTTGAACTCCTGGGTTCAAGCACTGGTCCCACCTCAGCCTCCCAGAGTGCCGGAGGCACTGATTACAGGTGTGAGCAAACATGCAGAGCTGAAATAAATCTGATTAGCAAAACATACCTCCCAAACTTGGAAATAAATGTTAATGCCATGGAGGTCAGAATGATACTCACTGCTGAGCGGAAGGTGGCCATCACTATGGGGGCAAATACTAGGGGTCTTTGTGGGGCTGATAATGTCTTTTCTTTTTTAATTTGAGACGGAGTCTTGCTCTGTCGCCAGGCTGGAGTGCAGTGGCTTGATCTCAGCTCATTGCAACGTCTGCCTCCCGGGTTCAAGAGATTCTCCTGACTCAGCCTCCTGCGTAGCTGGGATTACAGGCACGCACCACCATTCCCAGCTAATTTTCATATTTTTAGTAGAGACGGGTTTTACCATGTTGGCCAGGCTGGTCTCGATCTCTTGACCTCGTGATCCACCTGCCTCGGCCTCCCAAAGTGCTGGGATTACAGGCGTGAGCCCCCGGGCCCGGCTGTCTTTGTGTGTGTGTGTGTGTGTGTGTGTGTATGTGTGTGTGTGTGTGTGTGAGACACTCTCACTCTGTTGCCCAGGTTGGAGTGCAATGGCGTCCTCTCAGCTCACTGCAACCTCGTGCCTCAGCTTCCTAAGTAGCTGGGATTACAGGCACGCACCACCACACACCACACCTGGCTAAGTTTTGTATTTCTAGTAGAGATGGGGTTTCACCATGTTGGCCAGTCTGGTCTCGAACTCCTGACCTCCGGTGATCCGGCTGCCTCAGTTTCCCAAAGTGCTGGGATTATAGCGTGAGCCACCTGTAATCGTGCACGGCCTGATGATGTCCCTCCTCTTGGTCTCAGTGGATCCTGTGCGCACCAGCTCTGCGACAGTTTATTAGGTGATACTTTCAGGTTTTACGCATTTTCTGAAAGAAATATTTTCTACAGTTTGGGCTCGGTGGCTCATGCCTGTAATCCCAGCACTTTGGGCGGCCGAGGCAGGTGGATCATGAGGTCAGGAGTTCAAGACCAGCCTGACCAGCATGGTGAAACCCCGTCTCTACTAAAAATACAAAAATTAGCCGGAGGTGCCTGTAATCCCAGCTACTCAGGAGGCTGAGGCAGGAGAATCACTTGTGAGCCTGGGTGACAGAGCAAGACTCTCTCTCGGAAAAAAAAAATATATTATATATATTATATAAAATAGATATTACAGATATTATATATGTAATAGATATTTTATATA